ATTGAATGAAGTTCAAGAACCAAAGGTTGCTGATTTCCGTAAACATTTGCAAAAGACTTGGTCAACCAGAGCTGAAGAAGTTATGTGTAAATTAGGTTCAATCCTTTCTGCAGGTATTTTAGATGCTGGTGGTAGAAATGCTACAATTTGTTTGCACAGACATGGTAATAACAAGATGAGAAATATTGTTGGTCTTGCTCTCTTTACTCAATATTGGTTCTGGTATCCATATTTACATTTCTTGTCACTTTCTCTTGAACCAACTTCAATTATTGGTTTGAATACTGATTTGAAGATGCCATCCCAATTCACTTTCAAGAGTAATCAAAAACCATCCATGTTTGCCTATCCACCTCCACTCAAGACTGAAGAAGAAAGAAGGAAGTTACTGTTGGTCCTGTTGCTGAATTGTCTCTCTCTGCTAAGGCCAGAGTTAGAGAAGAAAGAAAGAGAAGAAGACCAGAAGGTAGTGCTACTCCTCTCCTCACTCCTCTTACTTCAACTCCAACACCACAAGTTGATCCAAAGCAACTACCATCACAACCTTCACAAACAGATAAGGATACAAAGAAACAAAAGAAGAAGAAGGAACCAACTTCTGAATCTCTTACAAATCCTGCTCGTGTAACACCTTCACAACTTAACTTTATTTCATTCGATACAACCAGTAGATATGTTCCTATCAAATTATCTTCTTCATCTGGTATCAATTTGGGTATTAACGTGCTCAGTGATACAAAACCAGGTGAAGATGCTGATATTTTAACACCTCAAGCTGGTCAAAAATCAGAAGAAAAGGAAGAAAATGAACCACAACCACCAGCAAGCTTTGAATGGAATTAAATCCAATTGTACAAAAATAAAGTCTTAAACTTGATTGTATTGGTTTATTATTGTTTTTCTACAATGAATTCATGATCCTCATGTTCTAGTAACTGTTGCATATCTGAAATCTCTTCTAATGAATTCTTAGTGGTTATTTTGATATTGTCATAATCAAATTCATTCTTCAGCTCTTCTACAAGTTCTCTGAATTGCAAATTCTTTAATTTATCCCAAGAGAAGCAAAAGGAGGAATTCTTTCCCTTTCTTCTGAATTCAATGCTAACTTTAAGGGCATCATACTTCTTCAAACTATTCCATTCTTGTTCAACCTCTGCAACTGTTCGTTTTGCTGTTGTCTTTAAATCTTCCCAAATTACATCTCTTATTTCTGACATCATGTTTACACCCCAAGGTTTCAATTGGTGGATATTATTTATAGCTGGGTCAACTGAGGTCAAAATTACTCTTGAAATATCTACACCAAGTTTGAGGGAACATTCCCTTCTTGTGTCATCAAAATGGTCTTTTGTCATATTCATGTTTGGCTTATATAACGCATCTGCCTTGTTCATTAAAACAATGAATCTGTGATCATTACTTTGTTTGATAACATTGATATGTTCTTTGCATTCTTCTTTATCACATTTGGAAAGGGCATCGTATACAACAACAATATAGTCCAATAAAAAACGAGAAGTAATAAATTGAACTTTGTGGAGATGATCCTGACTTTCATAGTGTGGGAAGTCCCAAACAGCAAAATTGGATGAGTTACTTGTTAGTGGGTATGCTTGAATTTCAGTTGTAGCTATTATACTTGAGGCGTTAGCATTTCTATGAAGGAACTTTTCGACAAATGTTGATTTTCCACATTTCTTCATTCCAACAACTCCAACGTAGAAGTTTTTCATCAATTCTTGTCTGATTTGATAGTTAATACACGCAGATTTCAACACTCTCAATACTTTCTTCCTTTCGGAGACACTGACCCAACCAATGGTAGACCCCTTTCCGAAAACTTCTGACCAGTGGTCAAGAATGTAAGCATTATCATCATACTTCAATAAATTGGTGCGAGTCCAATCAAAAATCAATTTTTCCAAAGTGATACAAAGTAGGTATACTGTGTGAATAGACTATATAAAAGCTGTCCATGAAT